ATAATAAAGTAAATAATTAATAAATAATCTATAAAGGTCCTATAATAAATTAATAAAAGTAAAATATAAGTCTAATAAAGAATTAATAAAGGGATAAAGATTAAATAAATAAGTTATAAAAACTTAATAAAGTACTTAAAGGATAAATATTAAAGAAATAAGTACTATTAGTTAATAATTAAGAAAAGTTAACTAATTATAATATTAGAATTAAAGGGCTATTATAAAAATTAGTATTAAATATATTAAAAATAAACTATTTTTAAACTATTTAAACTTATAATAGGTTAGAATTTACTTTAAAAAGTAATATAAAGGAATATTATCTTTTACTTTAAAAACTTTAAAATTTTATATTTATAATTTTATTTACTAATCTATAATATATTTAATTAACTTTTAAAAAGGCTATTTTATTCTATAAGTTATCTCTTAAAATAATAGAAGATATTCTTAAAGTTATAATTTAAAGGTTTTATTTATTATATTTATAATCTTTTAAAGAAACCTTTAAATTAAAGTATATTAAATTAAAAATCTATTATTTATAAAAATTAGGTATATTATATTATAATAACTATTTATAAAATTTTTAAAAATCTTTTATAAATACTATTTAAATTATTTTTAAACTAAACTTTATTAATTAAAGGATATAAAATAGCTATAACTTATATTTAAAAATATTAACCCTTATAATTTCCTTATTTTAAAATAAGTTAATATTATTTCTTTAAATAAATATTAAATAATTTATATTTAATATTAAAATTTATTACTTTTCTTTATTCTCTTTTAAACTACTTTTAAATTTAAAGTTTTCTACCTTTTTTAAAATATTAAGTTACTATTAAAACTATTAGTAGATATATTTATTAAAATATTAACTAATTAAATTTAAAAATTATAAACTTATTTATTTAAATTAATAAAAGTAAAGATTTTATATTATTTATAATTTCCTTTAAAAGGCCTTTATAAAATAAATATTAAAAATTAAATTAATAATTAAAAACTTTTAAAAAATTAACTACTTTATAATTTAATATAAAATATAGAGTAAATTTATTATAATATAAAGTAAGTAATATTTTATAATATATTAATTATAATAAAAACTTTTAAATTAATAATAATATAAAAGATATCTTTTATAAAAAGGTTAAATATTTTTAACTTATTTTAAAAGGTATATATATATATATTATAGAATATTTAAAATTTAATTACTTAACTTTATACTTTTATATTTTTTATAATTTAAATAAAAGTAATTAAGTAAATTAATATTTATAAAAGCCCTTTTATATCCTTATAAAAGAGGAATATAATATATTTTTAGCCTTAAAAAATAGTTAAAAGCTAAATAAACTTTATAAAGAATAAGGGAATTTTTAAAAGTTTAAGAAATTTTTAGTAAACTTTTTTTATTTAAATTTTTTAATAAAGTAGTAACTTTTATAACTATTTTTTAATAAGTTTAAAAGCTATATAAAATAACTATAAGTTTTTACCTATTACTTTAATAGAGAGCTTTTAAAATCTTATTATTACTAATATTTCTATTATAATAACTTTAAAAAAAGTTATTAATATTAAAAATAATAAAGTTAATATAATTATTATTAAAGCCTTTAAAAGTTAAACTTAATTTAATAAAATATTTATAAAAAATTTATTTTATTATTAAATAAAACTAATAAAAATAGTATATAAAATTATTAAAAAAGACTACTTATAAATATTATAATTATTATTAAAAAGGAAGAAAGTTATATAGTAATAAAACTTATTAATTAAAAATAAAATTATTAATTAAAACTTTTAATTAATAAAAGACTATTAAAAAAGCTTTTAAAAACTATTTAACTTTAATTATTTAAATATATTAATAATATTTATAATAATTATAAAATAATAATAAAGGATATTAAATAATTAAAAAAGGAGTTAATTAAGGATTTAATAAAATTAATTATTAAATAAAAAAGAAAAAGCTAAAATAAAGAAAGAAAAATAGTTATTTAAAAGAAAACTAGTTAATTTATACCTTTATAAAAATATAGTAAAACTATTAAAAATCTAATAAATTATTAAAATTAATTAATAATAATTAATAAAAAGATTTTTAAAAGTATAAATAAAGATAATTAATATTAATTAATAATAATAGCTAAAAATAATCTTTTAGGGAAAAATATAATTATAATAATTAAATAGAAGCTATAAAAAAGTACCCTAAAAGTACTTTAATATTTAATTATACCCCTTCTTAAAGCTTATTAAAAAGTAAGTAAAGCCTACTTATTTCTTTTTAAAAAGAAGTAAGAATTAATCTTATATTAAATTTAAACCTAATAAACCTTTAAATTTTTCTTAATTTATACCGTTATACCTAATACTATAACCCACTATATAACTATAATTCTTATTTCCTTCTCTTTAAAATAATACCTTTTTTAACTTATAAACTATATATTACTTATATAAAAGAACCTATAAAGTAAAAAGAAAAAACTTTTATAAAATAACTAATAGCTAATTATAAAATATTAATTATAAGGAATTATATAATTAAGCTTAAAACATTAAAAACTAAATTTATACCTTTCTTTAAAAAATAAAACTCTTCTTTATATCTTTACCTAAATAATTAAATATTATAAATATATTAATAAATATATAAGTATAAACCCTTCTATAATAACCTATAAGTAATTACTATTTATTATATTAAAAATACTTATATTTTTAAAATTCTAATAAAATCCTCCTTTAAAATAAATATAATAACATAAACCTCTTCCTAATATATATTAATAATAAATACTTTATAAAAGTTTATAATATATTAATAAAATAATACTTAAAAAAATAAAAGGTAAATTATTAAATTAGTATAATTAAAAGCTAACTAAGTAACTATTTTAACTAATAAATCTTACTAACTATTACTACCTACCTACTAACATTTCATTAATTATATAAAACCTTTTAAATTTAAATAATTTAACTAAATTTAATAATTAAACTTTAAATTAAAATAAAAGTAATTTAAAGGAATAAAAAAATTACTTAAATTAAAACTTAAACTTAAAACTTTTATTATAATAAAACTAAACTTTTAATTTAAATTTAAAGCTCTCCTCTTTTCTTCTATTTTAATAACCTTTTAAATTAATTTAAATTAAAACTTAAACCTTAGAGTATATTACTATTATATTATTCTAACTTAATTAATAGAAAGTAAATTTAATAGACTAAAAAAAAATAAAATTTTAAGAATATTCTAATTAATATTACTAAAGGATATAATTTATATAAATAAACTAAAAATAATCTATTTAAAAAAAAAGATAATATAAATTTATAATTAATTATATAAATAAGCCCTATAAGTAGTTAAAACTATACTTTTATAAGTACCCTTTAATAACTAATTCTTCTAATCAACAACCTAACTACCTACACCTTTAGATATTAGATTCCTCACAAATTCTAGTATTCTAATACGTAAGTATAGGGTAAGATACACACCTCCCCTTGCGGATCGGGATATCTAGGGTTAATTAACTACCATACCGCGCTCTTAGGGGTTTTTAGAAACTATTTGCTAACTAAGATAGTTTAGAGATTGTATTTAAAAACCCCTTAGGGAGCGCTATAGTAGGTACTCCAATTGGCAGCATTAAATCAAAGCACTATGGTCCGGCTAGATTGCAAGCATTCGGAAGGCTGAGCTGCATCTGATAGCGGTTTGCACGATAATCTGCTATAACTTGGCTCACCTCTATGCATTATAACTGAAGGACTGCTCCGCGATTGTCGGTAACGCCAAATCACGCCCGTTCATCACGCCTGTTAGGACCGTTGGGGCTGATCGCAAGCTGGACCAGCTGGGCCCTTCTGGTGGGTTTACCTTGTCAGCCCAACTGGCTTGCAAAACTGCTATGATTAAACGTAGGACAAATTCTTACTTTTCTTTTCCTTTTCTTAGGTAACTATAGTTCTAAACTAACTAATCTTCATTATATTATTCTTTTATTACTTTTTAAGAATAATCTTTTAATTATTAATAAATTATACTTAATTTTAATATAAGTTAAATTAAATAAACAAACAATAAAAATAAAGTTTATTAATTTATTTTATAATAAATAAATTATTTATAATATTTTAGTGGGAATTTTGTTTGTGTTAGTAGGGTGGTGCGCAGACTAGTCTAACTACTTATTACGAAATGGACGCGCGTCACTGGTCGACTGTTTCGGAGCTTGGCCCCTTCTCTGTGACATCTGGGGAGAGAGGTTCGACAGCAATTTCTCGCGGCAAGAATCAAGCCCATCGGAGGATCCGAGCCCGGACAGACGCTGGTGGTGATGGTTTAGAAATGCACGTGGAGGACGGGGGAGGGCCCATCTGCTGGCAATGAGGTTCATAATGAGGGCGGCAGGGTTCCTGTACAAGTTTGCAAGACCTGAATGCGTACCAGATCCAACGTTCTGCATTGCGTGAAAGTAAATTGAGGTCAATCAATGATTTAAGAAATGCCACGACCCCTTGGAATTAATTACTTTCGGCATGAACTCAACCAGTGCACTGTGTCGACTTCGTTTGCAACTTTACACCTGGGCTAGCATTGACCAAGACGACTGGTGGCTCCTAAACAAATAAAATAAAGTAAATATAAATTATTAAAACTAATTTTGTAGTGGTGCTGCGAGGCGCGTCTGAGGTCCAAAGGTGGTGGGGTGCAGGGCCGGAAACTGATGTCCGATTTTTAGGGTACTTACGCATCACCAGTGAGAGACTGAGGCGTCGTTCTGCATCAGGTTTTAGGCTTTTCCGAGATCCGTATGTAACTTGAATCTGACATTCCACCACACTGTTTGTGGAGGACAACTTGTAGGCCACATTGATGGACTGGCCGCAAGCGCGGGGTTACTCACGACGGAACTCTTCGCATCCAACGCCTGGCGGCCTCGGCCACCGCTTCCAATATGGCTGACAAGAACGAAGAGTGGAAAAAGCAAGAGAGAGAGATCATCGACAAGTTCTTCACAGAGAAGGTGCCCAATGCACTGGATCCGCCTACCGCTCTCTGCACCGAGGAGTCATGCATCAATTTTGCCAAGACTACCCTACAAACAGACGACATCATTCCTGTCGACAACCAGGGTTCGAATAGCTTTACTCTCATCAGCAGAAGCCTGAAGACTGTGATTCAGTTCCGTCTGACTGCGTTTCGCACCGATGCTCTCCGCTTGGTAAATGAAATCTACGGCGATCTCGTCCCAGAGGTCAAGTTCCACGAAGGGTTTCCACTGCCAGTTTACACCAGCCGAGTAATCCCTGGAAGGTTTCACGTCCTTCAACCGTTCCCCGAGGCTCAGTTTCCGTTGGCGAGGGAAAGGACGACGGTTGCAGAGTTGGGAGCGTTCGTTGCGAAAGCAGCATTCTTCGTTCAACCGAACCATATCCCGACGCCAGCTGGACACATACTGCAGCCAAGTGTCCATCTCCTGGAAAAGTTACCCGCAGTACTGACGCACCACAACTTTTCTCAAGTCAATATCCTCGTTGACGATTCTGGACATTTGACGGGGGTCATTGACCTTGATGAGGCGGGTATCGAAGTGTTTGGCATGTGTATATGGGGCTTGTATGAATGCTTCTTTGGCATGATGGAAAATGGGAAATGGTCTTTCTACGACACGGTTCTGGATGGCGGGCCCCGAGAGGCAAATACTATTCGACAAGGTCTTGAAAACACATTCTGGGAATCGCTGTGGGCCAATACCCCCGCTGGCCTGAAGCAAACAGAGACAGAGCAGGCGGTCATGGTATCACTAAGTGTCGGTGTTATCAATAGGTACTTCATCCAGGGTATGGTTGATGAGGTTGATCCGTCGAAGAGCGTCCACCGCATGTCGCTAGTGTATGCCAAAGGCATTCTACCTCAAGTCTGGAAGGCCCAGTCGGGCGGACCTATAGTTGAGGAGGATACTAAATGATACGTTGGTGACTCTAGAAATTTGTCGCACTTTAAGCAGTGAAAGTCATTTTAGGAGAAACTGACAAGCATAAATGCTAGGAATGATTTAACACACCGGTCACCATTATAGAAAGTTTTTAGGGTAGTAGTAGTTCTCTTAATTATAATGGTTAGTACCTAAGGCTACCTAATCCTCGAGACTATATAGCAGCTTTACTGTATGTAAAAATTTGCGCGAAGAGCAATACTTTTCCAGCAGACCAACTCATAATAAACGCTTTCCCTCCAGCTCGACAGGAGATCGCTGGTTTGCCATCTCCGACGCAGAACCTGCATCGCCAAATTGCAACCCTCTGAGAAGCGCCTCATTGTGCTGCTGTGACCCATCAGAATAACCCGCGTCAACAAGTATTTCCGTATTCTGTGTTTGATCCGAGAGCTCTTCTTGACCAGGGTGCTCCAGATGCACCTCTTTCTCCTGCGTGTGTTCCTCGCGATTGCGATTGTGCCTCTGACCCAATCGATAGAAGAAAACAGCCACGAGTCCCATGAGTATCAGGACTACCGGTATTCCAACTCCGAGACCGGCAGCCAAAGCGGTTGAGGAAGAGTGTGAAGCTTTGGGAGTATCTGTGGAGGTCGTGGTAGCTGCGGCCGGGGTCGATTGTGATGCGAAAGTGGCGGCGTCGATTGTTGAAGCAGAGGTCTGCTGAATGTCGGAGGTGGTCGGGGCTGCAGATGTCTGGGTTTTTGTAGAAGTTGACGAGGAGCTCTCGAGAGTACTGATAGCGATACTGATTCCTGCTGTTGTGTAAACTACAGCCGCGCCAAGATCCAGTCTCAGATCGTCGTTGCTGCAGCAGGTGAAATTAAAGTTGCGTGCGAAGTTGTCAGGGTTGCCGGTAGCACAGCACCAGCTTTTATTGTCAGAGCATTGGAAGACCAGGTGTGCGGCATTATCGGAGTCTTCCAAGTTTGATGATGAGTTTAGTCGTTGTCATGCTCCCTCAGAGGTGTTCGAAGGTTGTAATGACTCACCAATTCCCTGGCAGTATGATGGGCATGCAGGGTCATTGAATGTTGGGTCGGTACAACCAACACGCCAGTTCCAGTTGTGTTGATCATCAGAGCCAGCTTTGCATAGACCGTTTGTGAAGCACATGTCGTCGGGAGCACAGCAAGCACTGTGCCCACCCAGTGCTACCGCAGTTGTATTGCATGGGATGTATGTTGAGCCGGATGAGTCGGCGTTTTTTCCACTGGCATAATAACAAGTTGCAGACATGATGAAATGGTTCGGTTGACGCGCGAAAAAGATCTGCTTCAGGAAACAGAACACGAAAGCGACGGGAAGGGCTGTATTTCTACCAAGGTAGAGAATATCTTTCCCTCTTCTGATAGCGAGCGGCACAGCAAGAGACAGTATTTCGCTACAGCACCGACACCCCACTGGCCCCAGAGTATAATAGGGTCGTGGGCGCTTACTTGCCAAAATGTGGGTTTACAGGGACGGTCTTCCGCACTCTGATCCACTGTTTCATGGGAGGTGGCCCCATCAAGCACGCTTTTTATCTTCTTCATCAACAACCAACACTGCTTGGCAAAGGCAGCCGCAGCGGGAACTGACTCAGGAAGTCGAGTGGGTGATCGGAAGGGAGCATATGCCGTGGGTCTTCGGAGGGTAAAAAACCTCGTTGCTCCGCCGTCAGAACTACCCTCGAAAGAATTCCATTCGCAACCACACATAGCATCACGGCCGATGTTGCTTCGTCTTGCCACCATTCTTTCCAAGTAGTTGAAGCTCAACATGTCGTTGCATTCATCATCTCGGCTGATTCGGCGCCCCCAAGTCTATATCACTTTTGTGTGCTTCTTAGTCTTCCTCCTGGCACTAGCCGAGTTCAATGGTACAGCGTCTTTTGATCTGCTCCCATCGGCTCGGCAATCGCCATACTACGTCGATGATGAATCACATTATTATACCTGGGAAACACCGTCGTTCTTTCCGCCGTTGAAAGCCGCACATAATGGGGATACACTTGACTTGTGCGAAGGCTTTCCCACTCATCTGCTGGGAAAGATCCAGGTCGTCATGAAAACGGGTACTGCCGAATCGGCCAAGACCAAGGCCCACCTGGAGACAGTCAGCTCATGCATAACCAATATCTTGGGCTTCTCTGACTACGAAGAGAAGATCGGAGAGCATCAGTTCATCGATGTACTTGCAGACCTACCCCAATCATATTACAACCATCCCGATTTCGCGGTCTATTCGGCTCAGAAACAGGCCCATCAGGAGGGAAGACCTGTGGAATACTCCCCTGAGGGCTGGAAACTCGATCGATTCAAGTTCTTACCCATGTAAGCCAACATAAAAACGACTTCAAGGGCGAGAGATTTGGCTAAAGTCTATGACCACCTTGTGGCCTGCTCCCGCCACATTCCTCTTGAGCTACTTCTCTTGGTCTTTGACGGCTAACTCTAAATGCTGGAAAGGGTCGATAAGGCTTACCAGATGCGTCCACATGCTGATTGGTTTGTCTTCATTGAAGCTGATGTGTACTACTTCTGGGGTAGGTTGTTTGATTTGTTCTCTATCTTCTTTGGCTCTATCCTCCCCGCATCAGAACGAAGCTATAACACGGTGCTGTCTCTCATACGCGACAATGCAAGCATAACATGTGGCACAAAAATAATTGACCATGAGTTGCGTATAGACACACTCTTCCGACTCCTCCACCAGCTGGATCCGTCCAAGCCACATTACATGGGATCGCCCGCTCCTGGCCGAGACGGGACCTACTTCGCATACGGAGGTGCCGGATTCGTGATCTCTCGCGGTCTCATGAAGGAGCTGATGGCAGACTCGACACAGCTGAGCGTGCAGTACCAGGAATATGCTGTGAATGACTGCTGCGGTGATGCCGCCCTTGGGTACGCTATAATGAACCAGACCGGCGTACGGTTACAAGCACTATACCCAACTTTTGCTGGGGATGAGCTCGTTGGGATCAAGGTGAACCAGGAGAGGTGGTGTATCCCCCTCCTTGCGCTTCACAGAATATCGCCTGAGCAGATGAAGTCACTTTGGACGTGGGAGAGGACACGGGTATATGACCAGGTTCGTGGAGGTGTGCTGACGGTCAAAACCCGATCACTGACAATGAGACAGCTGCCCTTCACACATTCCACCATACTCGACTACACTTTGTCGGACATCCACAAGACCCCACAACGGACATCTTGGGATAACTTTGCCGACGTTATCCCCCGGGAGGACTCACCCGTGCATGCGAATATTGCCCAGTGCAGCGCGGAATGTGCCTCTGACCCTCGCTGTTTGCAATATTCATATTCTCCGGGCACCTGTAGGTTGGGATATTTTGTGCAGATGGGGCGACCCGTGTCCGAGTCCGACCATATTTCTGGCTGGGACTTGGAAAAGGTGTACAAATTGGGCTATCAGAAAGACCCAGATAAGTCAACTTCTTGCAAAGAGGCCACATGGGCCAAGCCCATTCTTGGGTACTAGGAGGTAATTAGATGTTACTCGACAAAGAACGAGCCTTGCGCAGGAGTATGTCGAAGCAGTTAGGCCCTGAGCAATAATTGCACAAGAAGTGTCACTCCCAGTACTCTTTATTGATAGTAATAGTAATACTGATGATTCTATGCATTACTGGGCGTAGGTAATGAAAATGCGCTCAAAACATTTCTCATCATATAGTCTTTACTGATATTTCGCGGGACACAGAACACTAATGTCTGTCGCGTCACTCATGAGGTGCGAATTTTCACCACCAAAGACTGCCTCTCGTTCCCTTACACACAAGATAACCTGTGGGCTGAATATTACCTTCCCAGAAAATCCATGTAATAAGCTCGGAGTTCTATCATGTGAATGTGTCTATGCCTGAGACGGCCTATACCCAATCACAAGTAGTAATTGCCGATAACACAACTTTTCACGTATAAATTGATGTTCGTAGAACCGGCGGGAAGACAAGAAATAAACTTGCACAGGGGGGGGGCGAGCCCTCCGACGTACTTTAATGATCGGCTTGAAAACCATCGAACATGGTGCCCAGACTGACGAGCTACGGGTGCTGCAGAAATCCAACATGCCATTATCCAAGCAGAAATGACACTTCAGAATGTAGGTATGTCGATCTTCTTTTGTGTACAAGTCATAATCAAGCCCAGAGAGTTCCGCATCAAGCTTCCAGAGACATGAGAAGCTCCTTACAATGGTGTTCTGGCTACATTGGGTACCGTCCTATCATCGACATTGGCGCTGGAAATGGCTTGCATTCAAGGTCGATGTGATTCTGTAGCTCGGTTGGGCTTATGAGGCCACCAAGTGAAAGCGCTCAGAGCATCTTGCAGGCGTTCAACCCATGGGCCCGGACAGACGGGCCGTACAATGACATAACTTAAGTCTAGGCCACATTTATCCATGAACTTGGGACCACTAGAAACGATTGGGTTCAGTGCCGCTTGCACTGCAACGAGACATAACTTCAGGGCCATTGCAACGAGGATATTGCCCGATTGACCGTTTGGAACGGCCCGCAATATGCCAGGTTGAGATCCTCAACTGCACTTGGTCGGCAAGTCATGAGCATGGCACCAAAACAGTCGAAAGCGGGAAATCTGTGGGCCAGGAGCTGGGCAATTGAATGAATCTGGAGAGGTGGCCCCGGGACTACATGGTGCCTCCTAAATGACGAACTTTCACAGGGGACAAGGACATTGGTCATTACGGTTTTGAGGTATCGCATTGGCTTTCGTGCCTTTTCCTGTGTTTTTTTGTCTAATTCCATCTTGGCTCTGCTGCTGAGCCAGGGCTAGATCCAAGAACCAGAGCGAAATAACGATTAAGTCCACTTCTTAGACCTGAGCACACCGGGCTTTCTCCTTCACAGGACACTGGTGCCCGGATCCGGCTTCTTTCCCTTAATGGTGCAAGAACAGGTCGACTCTAGCACCGGACGTCGCCCGGCCCAGAACTTTGCGAGTATTGCCAATCATACCAGAGAGTACTTGCGCCAGTCTGCCACTCGACGTCGTGCGATCCTTGCCCAGCCTGTCTAGGTTTTTACCACTGGCTGGCCTCCTTAGCAGGCTCAGCACCCCACTCGGTGGTACCAGCAGCAGGAGCGGCGTCCCAGCTGGCGGCGGCGGGGTCAGCGCTCCACTCGCCGGTGGCACCGGCAGGGGGCGCCTCCCAGTCAGCACCGGCGGCGAAGGTGCCGGCCTCGATGGCGGCAGGGCCAGCCTCGTCGGCGGTGACGAGCTTCTCCTCCTCAACCTTCTCCTCGGCCTCAGCCTCGGGGTCACGGTCTGTGATATGTTAGTCTGATTCTCCTCTTTTTCTTGTACCCAAACAGTCCACGGGCTTCACATACAGAAGTAGAGATCGACCATGACGTCCCAGGGGGTCTCGCGGTTGTAGATGGTGCCACGGAGGCGCAGGACCTCACGGGCAAGCATCCACCAGACGCAGCCGATGGCGTGGCGACCCTTGTTGTTGGTGGGGATGGCAACGTCGACGAACTCGGTGGGGGAGTCGGTGTCGCAAAGGGCAATGACGGGGATGTTGACGTAGGAAGCCTCCTTGATGGCCTGGGCGTCGGTGCGAGGGTCGGTGACGACGATCAGACGGGGCTCCTTGAACGAACGGGTGATGTAGTTGGTGAAGGAACCGGGGGTGAAACGACCAGCAATGGCCTGGGCGCCGGTGTGGGCGGCGAACTTGAGGACGGCACGCTGACCGTAGGGACGGGCAGAGATGACACAGACGTCCGAGGGGTTGTCGATGGCGGCGATGATACGGGCAGCCAGGACGATCTTCTCCCTGTTCGAGGCGGTTTGTTTAGAAAATTGTCCACTCTCGTGTTTTTCTCCGTCGCCGTCGCGGGGTCTCGCGACGTCTCGCGATCGGCCGCTGCTGTGAACTTACCAGGTCTTGCCGACGTTGATAACGTTGACACCATCGGCACTGTTAAGACACTGTCAGCAATTGGAATCACAGCAAGAGGGATGCTCGAGGGCCATGTCACGGCTGGACGTACCGAGTCTTCCACAGGTACGAGTTCATGTGAACCTGCAAGTTCTTGGAGCCGAGGTGGGCCTGGGCGGCCAGCAGGAGCTCAATGTCCTGGCTGGTGGCGTTGAAAACGCTGGGCAGGTTGGAGGGAGCCATGATTGCGGTCGAGGGTGACTGACGGAGAGGTTGTCGTCGCGAAGTTCGGCAATGCAGAGGTGCTCGAGGTAAGAGGTTGAACTTCGCGAGGTTGAGGCTGCTTGGGGCTCCGCGAAAGACGTTTTGGCTGGTGCGCACCAGACGGTTGATTTTGCTCCCTGCAGGCCAAAAAGTGTGGACCGGCCGCACTCGCCGCCCAGAGGGCAGAAAAAAGTCGGGCGGGAAAGGTACGTACCGATCGTGGCTGTGGTGGCTGGGGACTGGAACACGCTAGCCCGATCGGACAAGCGAGCAGGCAGGCCGAGCTGCGGCAATGCAATGCTGGTAGGGGCGTCAAGATGTAGCCGCGTCCCCGGAAATTTTGACGGCGGCCATGAGACGAGCAGTGCGGTCACATAGCTGTCGATGATCGCAGCCAGCCCACCATGCCGCCCAGAATACCCGGTTCTTCGGGGCTCCAGAGCTTGACATGTATGCCATCCATCTCTTCTTCAACCCAATCCTCCACTGCATTGGATGGTCTGTCGTGCAGAAGGCTGTCCCTCGCCCAAGACAGCCCCATGCGTTGCCATTTCTCTCACTGGAGTCCATCTGCTGGGCCTCGCATGACATGCTCTGACACTATAGCATGGGATGTCGGGACTTACTTCGACAATGCTCTATAAGAGTCATCTGGCCATCGGACACCTTTACTGACAGCTCGTGCAGTATGCCTCCGGCCAGCGACAGCAGCCCGACGAGTCGCGCCATCCTTCCAACTGCTGGTTCAGAAGGCCAATCTCAGCGATGAGCCGCCAGCCCTCACCCAGAAAGAAAGAGATGCCCTTCGCAAGGAGAAGCTAGACCCTTACCGGTGGCAGCAGGCGCAACAACGGAAGAACCGCAACATTGAGCGCCAGAGAGTGCTCAAAGGCGAGCGCGACTTGGAATGGGGCGACCCCATCCACGGCATCGTCACGCCCTTCGTCGAGTCTTTCGACACCGCCGGCCAGTCGACGCGATCCAAGGTCAGCAAGGACGAGGACGGTAACGAGCTAGAGCAGTCGCACGAGCTGCCCACCTCGGAGCACATCCTCAACTACCAGCTCACGAAGCAGGAGCTGGAGGAGGCCATCGCCGAGGCCTACAAGCTGACCGCGCCCGTGGAGGGCAACATCAAGTCGGTGTTCTACAACGAGGTCGTCGAAAAGGAGGCGCCGGTGGAGCACGAGGCGATGCACAAGCGCGCGGTCGAGGCCCTGGACAGGATCACGACGCTTGAGAACGCCAGCAGCAAGGACAGGCGGCACGCCAACATCCGCCGCATCATCGAGACATTCGGCCGCCACCAGACCGATGATAAGGTGCGCCAGAAGCCGATGGTCGCGGGCCAGGCGGAGCGGGTCGAGAAGATCCGCGGCGGGCCCGACACGGGGTCCTCAGAGGTGCAGATCGCCATCCTGACGGCCAAGATCAGGGTCCTCGCTGCCATGTATGAGGGCAAGAAGGGCAACAAGGACAAGCACAACAAGAAGAACCTGCGGCTGCTGCTTCACAGGAGGCAGAAGCTGCTCAAGTACATGGAGAGGAGGGAGAGGGGAAGCGGCCGGTGGGAGCACATGATCCAGACGCTGGGCCTGTCGCCTGCAACTTACAAGAAGCAGATCGAGGTGAGGTAACGCCAGGCAGAGGCAGTAGAGCAGCGGAAGAACAATTAAAAAAAAACAATATAAATTCTGTACAATACAGTCGTGAGCGATCAGAATCTGGTGCAAACCTGACCCTGTTGTAACCTCGTTGCGCCTTCCATGGTATGCCTACTACGTCAAATCAATCGCAACAGACCTCAAAATCTCTTTCGTACTCTACACGAGGGTTGAATCGATGCTAATTTCATTCTTAAAACACGCTGATGTAGTTGCCGATGCGCTCTTTCTGGTTCTGCGCTATGCACTCGGCAATCCACGTAATATTACGGATTTCCTTTGACAATGTTAGCTTCTCGGCCAGCGAGTCGTGATGGCAGTGGGGGCAACTGACCTGTTCCCTCAGCTTCAGCCATGCGTATACTATACCGAAGCTGAATTGTCTCGTGAAAGCCTCCTTGGAGATCTCCATCTCCTTTTGGTAGAACATATCCTCAAGACTCCGACCGTCAGACCCGGAGCCTCCGCCCATGTTGCCAGGACCGGCCGGCCCGCCGCCCAGGCCAGCGGCATCGAAGAAGGTCTTGTAGTCGTGCACACCATCGACAGCCAGCCTCACGCCCTCGAAGTCGTCGGCACGGGACAGCATCAACGTTCCCTCGGGGTACAGCCGGCCGAAGTTGGGGTAGAGCTTCTTACGGTCCGCCTTTGTCAGCTCGGTACCGAATGAGTTGAGCGTGATGTTGATCGCTCTCCGGTCCGCCTCGAACTCGAGGATCTCCGACATCACCTCGGCTGTCGGTGTGCCGGCCATCTCGGCGTGTGTGTTGACAAAGTTGTGGAACTCCTCGAGGTAGTTCTTGTACAGGGTATTCCGCACAATCTCGATGTTCAGCTCATCTAGGTCCTGGTGGCTCAGGCTTCCCTTGAAGAACGGCGCCAAGGGTGTCTCGATCAACACGCTGTTGTACAGCTCCTCGATGTTGGTAGCCACACATAGCACCGGCATCGTCTCGAACCAGCCTAGAGGATGGCACCTGTCCAGGAGCTCCCTCGTATCTCTCTCGTGCAGCGTTCCGGTGATCAACAGCGCAACGTTGTCGATCATGTATCCGTACGTCAAGTAGTCCATGAACTGGGCGAGGGCCCCCGTGGCATTCGCTCGGACGTATTTGAACTCAGAAACGAGCTTTTCGGTTGTTTTGGCGGCAAGACTCGAGGTGGAGGGGTTCGGAGGCAGGGAGGCGAGGAAGTCGCCGTATGCTGGGCCGAGCTGGAGCTTGAGGTCTGGAGATGACGCCGTGAGCATGTGCACTCGCCATCAAGAGCAGGAGAGAGCGACCAACCATCTATGCTCTCGCACTGTGTCATGTTGCTGTAGTTTGCGTTGGTGAGGAGACCGTTCCGATAGCCTCGGACGATGCCCTCAAGATAGCTACAGTCTTCGGTCAGCAAGGCGGTCGTCATCGTTGGATAGGACGGGCGACAGCTAACCCATTGTTGACGTTGAAAAAAAGGCCCTCCATGGTGAAGCTACCGCGCTTTGTGACTTGTGGCGAGGCAGCTGAAATCGGTAAAGCAGAGCTGGCGTTACGGTGGCCGCTCAAGACTGCGAATCGGTGACGACGACCTCGATTTGGGAGATGGATGAACAGCTGCTGATGCTGATGCGCACTTGGGGAGGCTGCTACTGCTGTCGAGGAGCCGCCAAGGTGCTGCTGATTGGAGAGCAGCCGCCCGGGCAAAGTACGTACCCGCACTACGCTACTTTGGGACTAGTACCGACCGCACCTCTGCACTGGCCGACCCCCACATGAAGAGCGAGTAGCACTCGATTGAGCTTTAGCAAAAAATTCGGCCGACAACTTTTTTTTCCTTGCTCGGCCTCACGACCCTTTCCTCCACAACAACCTCACAACCCGCCTTTGCGCGCTTTACTAACCCTCGTGGAGGACACTCATTAGGAAAGCGCAAGGGCTTCTTCAAATATTTCAACATGCCTCTTTTCGTTCTCTCCGAGACGAGCGTAGGGTAAGTTGCACCGCCGCGCGCATGCACCCAGGATTTCATTGTACGGCGGACCGCTGACCTGCGTGCAAATAGCTATGCCTTGTTCAAGGCCAAGGACAAGAAGCTGCTTGACGACAGCGAGCTCGACTCCCGTCTTCAGACTGCCGAACAGATCAACAATGAGTACGTGCAATTACTTCCGTCCTATGATCAAGACACGACTCTCGCGCGGACAGGCGGCCTAACAAACTCACAGGCTGAAGCTCAAGGAGATCGTAAAATGGGACAACGCTGCCACCGGTCTCGAAGAAGTGGCTGGCCTGGTCGAGGGCAAGGTCACTCCCCTGCTGACCAAGCTGCTCGAGTCCATCAAGGACGAGAAGAAGGCCTCGCTCGTCGTCTCAGATGCCAAGCTGGGCACCGCAATCAACAAGCTTCCTCAATTCAACATCACCCCCGTCGCCGACTCTTCCACCAACGATCTCTACCGTAACATTCGAGCACATCTTACCGACCTCATCCCCGGTCTGGAGTCTGAGAACCTCAGGAGCCTCGCACTTGGTCTGTCCCACTCGTTGTCTCGGCACAAGCTGCGATTCTCGCCCGACAAGGTCGATGTCATGATTGTTCAGGCTATTTCTCTGCTTGACGATCTTGACAAGGAGCTCAACACATACGCCATGAGGGTCAAGGAATGGTACGGCTGGCACTTCCCCGAGCTGGGAAAGATCCTGAACGACAACCTCGCCTACGCACGAGTCATCCTCGCAGTTGGCATGCGCACCAGCACTGCCAGCACTGACCTTTCCGATATCCTTCCCGAGGAGATAGAAACCGCTGTCAAGGCTGCCGCTGAAGTCAGCATGGGTACCGAGATTAGCGACGAGGACCTGCTGAACATCACAATGCTGGCAGACCACGTCGTCCGATACACCGAGGTCCGCGCACAGCTGTCGAGCTACCTGGAGTCTAGAATGAAGGCCATTGCCCCTAACTTGACGGAGCTTGTTGGAACCCTGGTTGGCGCACGTCTTATTGCCCACGCTGGCTCCCTCATGAGCTTGGCAAAGAACCCCGGTTCCACCATCCAGATCCTTGGTGCCGAGAAGGCGCTGTTCCGTGCCCTGAAGACAAAGCATGCCACTCCCAAGTACGGTCTAATTTACCACTCTTCCCTGGTCGGCCAAGCCACCGGAAAGAACAAGGGCAAGATCGCCCGTCAACTCGCTGCCAAGACTGCTCTGGGTATTCGTTCAGATGCCCTGACCGAGTGGGTCGATGAGGAGGGTAACGAGGTTGATGAGGACGAGCGGGCGTCGTTCGGTGTGGCTGCTCGCGCCAAGGTCGAAAACAACCTGAGGAGACTGGAAGGAAAGCCCCTGGTCCCCAAGGGTATTTCTGTGGGCCCTAACGGACAAGCCGCCGCTCAACCATCTAAGTGGGACGTCAAGGAGGCCAAGAAGTACAACGCCGACGCTGATGGTCTGGAAGCCGATTTTGCCACGGTTGAGATTGACTCGAACGCTGGTGGCAAGAAGGAGAAGAAGGACAAGAAAGATAAGAAGGACAAGAAGTCCAAGAAGGCGAAGCCTCTTATTGAGGAAGTTTCAGATGAGGAGATGGCAGATGCTCCTGCTCAGAATGGAGCTGCCGGTACGTTACTGACCCTCTCGACGATGATCTCGATGCTTTCCTCCAGTTCCACAAGGAGCACACGCGGAAGAGCAACACCTACGAATCTCATCTTTCTCCGTTGAGGTTCCTCGCTAACTGGTTCGCAGCAAAACTGTCTGAAGCCGACTTCGAGAAGTACGCCGCAGCCGCCGGCATCTCGGTGTCCAAGTTCAAGCGCAAGTACGAGCGCGGCGACGTCGAGCTCGCCGAGGACGGCACGCCAAAGGTGCTCTCCAAGAAGGAGCTCAAGAAGCTCAAGAAGGCCGAGGAGAAGGCCGACTCAGACGAGTCGCCCAAGAAGAAGCGCAAGGCCGACGCCGACGGGGAGGAGAAGCCCAAGAAGAAGAAGAAGAAGGCCGACGCATAGAAGTGACGACCCTTCACGATTAACTAACGGGCGTTATCATCTTTTTCCCTCTCTCTTACCGCGGGGGCTGTACTGGGTCGTTGTATGATACTATGCATATCTTCCTGCGGCCTTCTTCTCAACCTTTCCAACAATACTTCTGGCGTGTTGTGAGAGATATCCTTCTACGGCGTTTTCGGCGTGGCATTCGGCGGCTCAGGAATAGGGAATTGGGGCTGTGATTTGGCTTAGAATTTTTTGAGTTGCTTAAAAACCGGAAAACTCATTTTGTTGAGATCTACTGTCATAATGTACTCATGAGCTGGCGGTCGGGCGATGTTTCCTGACGGGCACGGTTACGTTGGAAAGTAGGCGTTGTCTCCCCTGTCCAGGTCAAACAACGTCTTGGATGTCACTGGCTCGGTCATGCTCTTGCTCGCCCGAGAGCTACTGCTTGGCTCATCGGAGCTGTAGCATCTGAGCTCACCACAGAGTGAACACGTACATTAAATACAGTTTCAAAAGTCATCACCACCTTGTCTTTGGTCTTGTGCATCCCTGCTGAGTTCGGGCTACCGGCCCATAGTAGATTCTGTGCTGTCTCATTGCTACCGCCAGGTAGAGAGCTAGCAACGAACATGGCGGATGATGCGCACTCAGTTGGGGAACCTGATTGCCATCCCGGTTTCTGCCAATGAAGACAGTGACCTATGCCCAACATGTCAAAGGTGCAGGGTTTGTTGTCATTCGTGTGCCATGTCTTCGGCACTTGGGACGAGGCAGTTCACTTGGGTTCCTAGGCTTGAGGTTCTTGGGCAGTGCTGAGAGCTTTGTGAACCTCCCTCCGTACATGGATGGAAACATATATGGCAATAAACGATTTATCAAGACTCCAATGCCACTCAACGCGACATCACATGATGTTTCTACTATTTGGTTGATGGTAGCCGATCCCGTATGAGGTACTATCAACTACCCGCCGGCGGCCAAATCACCAAGTCTGAGCTTCGAGTTCAAATAGCTTTAGATTGCCACAGTCGAGAACCACGTCCCTTTCCAGCACCGACCGCATCAAGAATTACCACATTGCTGCGGCGTAGGGTTCTTTTCGTTCCTGGAAGTACTGGACAGCGTTCTACCCTGTCGCCGCAGATTTACATCTCATTGAGACACTACACAGTATCACACTTTGGCGTTGACTGCACACGCATCCCCCTTGATTGTCTGGTTGACGGCCTTGTCGACTCATCTCCAGCGGCTGTGGACTGAAGAAGTACGCAAGCACGAGTTGAGATGTGTAAATCACGCATATATCACGATCAGATCGCGGCGTTCTAGTCAACGCCGTCGTCAAGACGGTGCCCCTTAACCTTGTCTGTACGTCGTAAGGCTGAGGCCACAAGCACCTATCATATTATAACTATCGTTATCGGCATCGTATTTTTTCCAAGCGCTAGGTCTTAAGTGCTTACCACCGTATGAAGGCGCCATATATGTCCTCAGACGTATACGGAATAGAAGCGAAACCACATCACGATCAGAGACTCGTTGGAAAGTTTCTGTACACAGATTCAAGGCCGGAATTGAGCCGCGCGAGTACATGCCAGCCTCCCAGGGGCTATCAAGGCATCGTGGGCAAGACAGACTCGCAGATATCGGTTCCTGTCGGTACCCAAGGAGACGTCCAACACTGCGGCGGAAAGTCACTAACAAGTAACACGGGGCTAAACGGGGGTTGAAACTCATGACTGTGGCGGCGACGCATCATTCGCTCGTGACTAGTATTTTCGCTCCTACGGTCTTTGTATCCTGAAGCCACCGTCGGCATCATGGTGAAACAAGATTCATTCCATGATGTCAGACACATCACTTTATCAGCTGGAGGAGAAGAAGCAAAGAAGAAATGGCCTCTCTGGCCACCCACTCACACGCAATGCGTATTGCCCGCCCTAAGTTCCTCCTACCAGCACACGGTGGAACCCTCCAGCTCTGAAAATCCGACACGATCTTCTGTTTCGTCGAGCTGGCTGCCAGAACCTGTGAATGAGCCACTGTGGGAATAGATATTAACTTGGAGAGATGTATTCCAATCTGGAGACGAATGACCTTGACACTCATGAGACTGGAACTGCACAAGGGATCACTTCATCTTTCGTACTCTGGAGTCTGGGTTGCCGATTACGTGGATGGCGTGCTCAAGTGGAACCTGGCTGAGATTATTTCACGGCACCCGATGTTACTTAGGAGATGTGCAGGAGAAATCTGACGCACGCTGAGAAACATGGACGATCCGTTTGATGATCAACCTATGTCTTTTCAAGCAGCCAGGTACGAATACCTTGGCAAGCAAAACGTGCGCACATTTGTCCCTCGATTATGCAACTCTGTCCCGCTTCTACAGGTATGTTATTTTTAAGCTTAGCCACAACAAACATGGGAAAGTATTGAGATCAGTTGCTCCCTCTGGCTGATACTTGATCGTAGACTTACGAAGATAGGCCAACCCGGAAAGTGGGTGCTTGAAGGAGGCTGTTCCGGCACCTCCCGGGCCCGGCGCTATCGGGAGCGAATGTCACCTCAAGCTCGAGTCTTTGGAGCCACTGCTGCCACCTGGATGTTGCACTGTTGCATCTGCGGCGACATACATGAGGCATACACCGCGCGCATTTCGACCTGTAACGCAGGCAATGGAACATGTGGATCTCAGGGCAGGCGTACGACGACGCTAGGTAAACCCCAGCATTGCTGTTCGTCTTAACGAGAAGCGTGTGGGTGCACCCGGCAGACGTGTGTCACTCCCAGCAAGGGAAAAGCTTTTTCACGATAGTGTTTGAGAAACCCGAGTTCTCGTTGGGCTGGGGCGCTTCGCTAAGTCGCTTCATTGGCCAGGAAGACGGAGCTCGTCCCAAGAGGCTGATATATGGTTGCATAATGACAGGCCTCTAAGCCCGAAGGTAGGAACTGGGGGTGCAGATCCAAGTGCTTACCCAGGTAAGTTTGAGGTTATTCTTGATCGCTTTGGACGCTGGGGTTTGAGGAGTGGCCCATCGTTCAGGAGACTGGTACGAGGTCTGTGACAGCCCTACACCCCGGGAGAGATGCATATCCCTGCGCCCAGCCAGCCCAGCCAGTGATTCTCGAGATCTTCCCGCCAAGCAAGCGGGTCTAACTGCCCCAGGGTGTGCACCTGGACGGCCTAGCAGCCTAGGATAGCCCGGCTTGCCCGGGTATAAGGCAGTTGAGGCTCCGCTGCCGCCGCCAGTGGCTTGCCAAGACGAAACGTCCTATGCTTCCGACGACACCTCACCTGAACTCGCTCGTCTGAGATCAGACACAGATGACGAGGCCGTGCCGCACTGGGTATACACCGCGCCTTGCGCACTTTTCCTTCCCCCTTTCGAGCCGCCCAGTTGACCGCTGTCTCCCCGCCGTAACCATAACGAAAATGGGTTTATTCTTTGACACGCCCCACATCTGAAAAGACAACCTAGTTGCTCGGACCCTAGTTTGGGTTGTGGCAGTAGTCGCCATGGGCAGACGTCGCCTGCAGGCAAGAAAGATGAGATGAGACTGCGTTTCGGCGTCAAGACGGTTTCTGTCCATGGGCACTCGGGCGCTCTGGGGAGTTGCAGTCAGCCGAAGGTTGAGATGGCTCGAAGCAGTGAGGCTGACGCGGCCAAGCACCGATGGGATGGGATGCATTTGTGCCCACCGATGCCTCATATAAAGCCGGTAAACCCACCCGCTGGTTTTCGTGATGCCGAGTTGAATAGCAACCTCAGTCTCGAACACAGCACCGCAGAAGCAGTCTCTATTAACCTTTCCGACTTCCCTGATTCTTTTCTTCTAACGGCCGGTTCCGTACGCTCTGGTTTAGCTATTTACTGTTTAGTATCTATTGTTTTTCTATCAAGATTTCTTGATCAAATCACATTCTTGTTCACATTTCCTCAGGAAAAACCCCCCATCAGTCATCATGAAGTTCCTCTCCACTCTCGTTGTCGCCATGGCCAGCGTGGCTATTGCCCAGGACAACAACAAGGGCGACGGCACCTCCACCAAGTCCCAGTGCAAGCAGGTAGCCAAGATCACCAAGCTCATGGATCTCGCCAGCAACACGACCAAGCTCGACAAGGTCACCGAAGGCAACGCGACCAAGGCCTCGGAGATCCAGGCCAAGGCATCCCAGGCGGCAACCAAGTTGACCGAGCTCCAGAGCAACACGACCCTCATGGCCGCCTGTGACCAGATCTTCGCCGTCCAGGACACAGAGAACGCCTGTGAGAAGATGCAAGGCCTCGAGAAGCTGCAAGCCCTCGTTGCGAACCAGACTGCGCTTGACGAGAAGACCAAGGGCAACACCACCAAGGCCGACGCGATCAAGGCCAAGGCCCAGGAGAAGGCCGCAGACCTGACCGCCATGCAAGGCAACGCCACCCTCACGGGCTTCTGCGCTGGCTTCCAGGACAAGCAGTCCTGCAAGGCCATGGCCAAGCTCGCCAAGATGCAGGAGTTTGCTCAAAACACCACCGCTCTGGTAAGTTCATAATGATTCCCGGCGCTTCATCAAGCCGCCCTGTCGAACCATTCATCCACTAACGCAACCTGAACACAGAATGAGAAGTTCAACGGTGATGCAGACAAGATCGCCAAGTTCCAGGCCAAGCTCAGCAGCAAGGCGGAGAAGATCAATGCCATGATGAGCAACCAGACCCTGATGGATGCCTGCAACAGCCTCGGCATCACAACCGCGTCCACCACCACCGGCGCGTCTAATTCAAACTCATCCGACAAGAAGAGCGCGGCTATCAGCATCAACGCCATGGGAGCCGGCCACGTCTTGGCTCTCGTGTCTGTCCTTGCCTACGCCGTCGCTATGCTCTAAGCGTCAGATGCATGATGACATTTGAGAGTGGCATGAGTGCTTCGTCGCCCTAATTGGGCAGACTCATGTGGGCTATCTCTACCTGCCCTTTTTTAAGAAATAGGTTGTCTACCTGAAGGGTCTAGGGAAGAAAGTCAAGGCTGGTAGCTGTGGTGGGAGGAGGCCAAAACGACTCATGATGACCGTCTGAGATATGATGGATACAGTCTTTACTGGCCACATGCATGCACAGGCATCGAACTATATTATAAAGATGCACACAGGACTGCTAGATCCTTGTAGCTTAGCTGACAGTATTGTCGGAATGCGCCGACGGGAGACATATAAGAGACGTGTCATTTCGTTCTAGTGCTGCCTCCTGGATCAATGATACCCTCAGAAATAGCAGAATTGATTCAGAATTCATTTAAATTTTCACGACCTCATTTTGCGCCGACCGAATTCTTGTCTCCAGCTGATGGGTCTGTGGGTGTTGAGGATGTCCTGCTCCGCGCCAAGCTAGTAACAGTCTTAGAATTACCCCGACTCTAGTCATGATAGATAGAGCTCTGCAACTATGACCCACCTCTCTTACATTTTATGTTTCGGCGTCCAGTCCACATTTGGGTTGCAACTCATCCAGTCATTTCATCTGAAAATATTCCCATGCTATTGGCATGGTGTCTCTACTTAAAGAAAGAATTTGCTCTGCTCGCTCGAGACTCTTTATCAAGGACAGACCCTCGGTGGGTGTGCTGGGCAATATCACCTAGGCTTTAATTCTCTCAAACAAGGGCAATGCACACAAAACTTCAGATCACTATAAATACAGTCGCCGCGACATTGTCTACCAAGGTAACATCACTTGAGCGTTGCCCAGTCAAGCGCTGCTAGAGATGGGTATGGATACGATCCCCGGCCTGTGGGATTGTCAGCAGTGCCAACTTCCCGATGAACTTCCGAGGCCATGGAGCGGCGGAATTGAAATTTCAACGACTCGCCTCAGTGCTTGATCCTCGCCCGAGGAGCCGCAGCCACGGCAGAAACTCAAGCAATTAATTCCCAGGGTTACCAACTCATGGCTTGAGAAGAACCCCAGGTGAATTCAACCTATCATCCCGTGCTTGAACTTTCACGCGCTTTGTTATGGCTGTCTTACCAGGTGCGTTCCAAGATTCTGGCGGTCCGTGAATTGTGCACACACTGGCAGTTCTAAGAATGGAAAACCAACGCGACCCCGGGTGGTAGCCGGTGAGCTGCACACAAAACAACATTCGCGGAGAATAATTGACTTCCTCGAGGAGTGGTAGTAGACAACAAGACTTTGAACCTAGTATTCCCTTTTCTTGTGGCTTATTTATCTCTAAGTTGAATGACGTCCCGATCTGGATGGTCGTGATAGCGGCAGGTGCATGTCGTCACTACGAACATCGGTCGTCGGCCAGGTCCTCATTAGGAGAGTTCATTCAGTGTAAGCCTAGCCTGACGCATGCAGGGCTAGAATTAGCGTTATCCCGGAGACTGCGGAAATGGCAGCTCTATGCACCTTCGTTAAGCAAGATTTGGTGACACCATTTGAGATTCGAGACGAAGACTGTGAGAGGCTTCAAGGCAGCCTAGTAAGCTTCAGTGGCTAATCGTACGGCAGATCCCCGCCCCCTAGCAACTTGTGACACGTCGGGGAACGAGTTTGCAGCCTAGCCATCGTTGAAGGGTGGCGTAATTTTGTGCGTACTCGCCTAGCGGTCTGCTGTGCTTATATCGGTCTCGACTGGCTAAGACAGGCTACTCTCATCATTGAGGAAGCATGGCGTCGGGCGAGCTCCAATCTAGTCGCCACGGACCCTCAAGGGCGATCACTACTAAGGGGACCGTATTGGATTAATGTCATGACTGGAATGAACCTGGAGACACTTTTTGGATAGAGGCTTGTCGAGGATACTATCATTGTTTTGGCCTGCTAGCGAAGGCGCCTGGGGGAAACTATTGGATGGGGAGACTGGAACGGTTGTATTGGTATTTGTTTTACTTGTGTGTTGAGTCTGGACTGTAACAAGACTGGGCATGGGTTTGATTTGTTCCATCAGCAATTGGATTTCAAAGTGTGTGTTTACTTGTATGCTAGCACTTGAGGATTCTGGCTAATGAGGTTCTGTCCTAATGATCTGGCGGATTTGCCTGTTGGACATGAATGCAACGGTGAGTGGAAGTTTTCACGTCGCTTTAATCCTCCGGGAAGTCCATTCCCCCAACCTCTACAACAAGAAACAAAAAAGGAAAGTCTGTCCTACACAATGGCTGTCCCGGACGCGCACACCGCACTTAGTGAAATGGTTGGGTACACTGTCTGCATTGATTCTACTATGTATTTCATAACCCTTTCGACAGAGCCTGCTTCTCGCCAGGTAACGAGTCTTCTCTGACATCTTGGCATGAGATTAAGAGGAGGTCAGCAAGCATCCGTTAATGGTTAGCTGCTGTTGCACATTCATTTGCGCTTGCAGCTCCATCAATTGATCCCAGCCACAATTAGTCTTGCATGGAAATCAGATCATCAGCTGCTATTGCCTCACCGGTTACCCCGATCATCGATGTCCTAGAAGCCTTGCGCGGGCACAATTAATAACCCATTCAAATTAGATGCTTTGCACACCTCTCTGGGGTCAGAGATTCCTCCCGCGTGACAGATGTTGGCAAAACGCGGGGACTTCTTGCACCGTGTCCAGACTCAAACTGCTTTCTCCACTTTCCGTCACGTCTCCTGGCTAGAAACTGAGTTCCTCATCCGTCTTTTCATTCTCAATCATATTTCTATCAGCAAGTATAAACAGTGGAAGCTTTTAAACTGTGTGGTCAGGCGGGGACGTGTAGGTGAAAGCGCAAATGCCCATGGTCAGTTTCAGCACGTGGTGTGACATTCAGTGCCTTCCATCTTCTTTCTTGCAGAGGAACATGCAGCCACTCCGAATGGGTAATCAGCTCGGAAAGATCACATGCAGGTGTGTCACACCATCATCGTCGTGCTCCTCCGGCTGCAGCATGTGTGTGTGTGTGTGTGTGTGGCAGGTTGAGGCAGGCTGCGGTCAATATCATTCACAGGAGGGAGGGGAAACAAACCCATGAGAATCGCACTATCGAAAGAGACTCCTGAATGATGAGTAAGTGACTGCATATCGGTGACGTAGATATGCTAAAAGCGTAGTATTGTGGCTTTTTGTGCAACCGAATTTTATTCTGAGGTCTGTATTCACCGCTGTGTTGGAACAGAGCCTCATGGTCATGTTAGCCTTAAAACACCTTACAGTGACACCGACAAGCGAATCACTTCAGGCCTCTTCAACGCCTCCACTCTTCACAGGCAGAAAGATTCCTCTTCACATCCCTCCTTGGTAAATCCAAAATGGACGGGGCTGAAACACCCACCTGCCTTAATCCGGATCCACATGAAAAGAACATTAAAGATCACATTCTCCATTACCTCGGTTGTGTTAAGATCTCAGACAGGAACAAATTTCTCCAGACTCCGGCGTATGTGCTGTCAGATGAAGAGATTGGAGCCACATCTACCACGGCCCGGCCTAACGGCAGCCAACCAAACAAAGTCATCGATAAGCGGAAAGAGGCATGGAGAGAAAACTGCCTGAGCGAGCTAAGACGTATCGCCTTTCTGAGATCCAAACTTGAAGAGGACGAAGAAGAAAAGCACCTCGTCGACAATATCAAGAACAGCCGTAGGGCATGGGAAGAATCAGAGCAATACAGCATCGGGATTGCAGAGATTGAGAAATGGGAATTCAATTCTAAACCCTTCAATAAGATAGACATCGACCCGAAGGTTGTGGGGCCCTATGAGCCTGGCCGGGATGTCACTACTCCTTTCATGCTGTTCAAAAAGCAAGATGATGCCAACTCGGTGTATGAGCCAGATGAAGAGAAGGTGGATCCAAAGAACTCTATTTGGGGCAAGTTTCCGAATCAAAAGACGAATGTTCAGCGACTGCTGGTCGACAAAGAGGATATCGAGCACGGCAAAAGGAACCTTTTGGATGGTAGGGGCGACGACGAGAGGATTAGATACTTTCACATCCCGTCCAACAACATGCTGGTAAGTCAATCAGCCCGAACCATCTACTATGTTAAAAATAACACGGACTGACTGTTCCTATTTGATAGTGGGCCGAAGTATGATATCCATTGCACTTGCCACAAGTGACCCCAGAATAACAAAAGTTTAGGAAGCTGTATCGAGGTATTATGGCGATGTCCGACCGGATTTTCATCCCATCCAGCAAGATTTCAAGCCGATGAAAATGACCAAATCTGCGTGGATACTGAAGGAATCTCACTGGAGGGGTCAGCTTCATGGAGGGCGGGCAACTGTAAGCTCTCGATACATGAGGCCATTCTGCGAATCCATCCGCTCTCTCGGTAAGCTTCTCTCTTACAAGTCAGTGCTACTGGATGTTAGCTGAATGTAGCTGTAATAGATGATGCGACACACAGCACTGATGCTGACACTGTGGCGCAAAACATCGTGTTGTTTGTAAGTCCCAATCCCTTCGCAACTCAGTGCAATCGAACTAATACGTCTTCGCATTCAGATGCCATACTTGCACTGGGAGACTTCCAGGAACCAACAAAGATTCTCTCAGATTATCGAGAACATCGTGGACAACAAGAAAAGGGAGGACAGACAGACACAAAAGGTCGCCAGAAAGCTTAGACAAGTGGACAGAGAAACACTGACAAAACCCAAGCGCCCAATACCTGTGGATTCCCGTACATATTGGGATAAGATTCAGGAATACTCCCAAGAACTGTCCCGAATAATTTCTGCGACGAATCCGGACGATGCGACTAGTGCTCATGGGCACAGAAAGCCTCAACTTCACTTTGGACCTATCCGTTCAATGACTCAGCTGCTGAGGGCACAAGCCGTGAAAGAAAAGCTTAATCTATCTGGACAATACCCGCAAGTTGACAAGAATGGCCGCGTCGACTTAGAAACATGGTTGGAGAAGCAGAGAAAACCTGAGAAGAAACGCTCTTGGTTCCGTCCATTAAAGAAACAAGGTACAGACTCTGGATACAGGTTAGGGCAGTATCTCATTGATGCTGCTCGGCTATTCGAAGCCATGACAAGCTACCGCGACAGGAAGCTTCTGGAGACTTACCTCATGAAAGATCCGCCGATGCATCCCCGACGCACTCTGGACCAAGCTTACTACTGGTCAATCAATAATACTAACCACAGAGATCTTGATCAGGTGGTTTATCGTGCTACAACGGCTGACCCCATCAAGTTTCATCGGTGGAACGTGGACCGTTCAATCTGGGCTGGTCATAACCATGAGGAAAACAAGACACCAAAGGAATTGGAAGAGCTCAAACATGAGCCCTGCTCAGAGTGTACTGCCAATATCCAAAAGGTTTCTCGAGTCATAATGGTCGATCAGTTGTGGATGTGGGTGCTGGACAAGAAGACCATCATCACTTGTTTCCCTAAACGCTACGGTGCCAACAAGCATGACACTTCTGGTATTCACAAATCAATTCGAATGCGTATTGAAGAGGGAGGGATACGTATCCGTTCCGTATTTGATCTAGCACTGGTCATCTTTGAGGAATGCTCTAATACCTTCTTCGACCGCACTCGAACTGCAGACAAACAACCCCAAGTACTCGATGAGTTCTCAGAGGCCATTGGCAATATTGTCAGTTGAAGACCCCGGTCAATCCTTTTGCAGACCTCCCTTTACTAATTGTTGATAGATGCACCAACAGACAGACGCCTTCGAAAAGCTCTGGAGGTGGACCGAGCGAGCAAGCAAAATGTACCGCAGGCTACCCGGGGCAGGCGTGCTCTCCCAATTGCACATTCCCCTTCTGGATATCAACCCAGAAGGAAAGTTGGAAAAAGAGATAAAGGACATTGTAGAGGAGCTTGGAATCATGTCCTATATCAAGAAGGCAGAAAAGGATGTTCTACAGTCCTTTGTGGATAATGCGCGCCAAGTTCTGAGACCCGAGGAGACAGGAGAAGTGTCATTGCGTCCCCAAACCCCAGGTGGTGCTAAGCTTGATGGTTATTTTTCCACTCAGAGAGGATATGAGAGTCGATCAAGAACCTCATCGCCAGCGAAAGGCTCAAGGCCCTTTCATCGGTCGAAAGAGGTTGAGGAAGCCAGAGCTGCATACGATTGGTTTTGCAACAATGCCTTGGAGCTTCTCAAAAGAGTTGACCAGCGTATTGCGCAGCTCGAAGAGCTTGCGAGGAGTGCAAAGTCGACTGCAGAAATGGTGAGTCTCCATGACTCGATAAGGAGTCTTAAGACGGAAGGCTAACAGCGTCTCGTTTGGTCTAGGTCAAGGACCTGTTGGAACTCAAACAGCAGCAAGCTGGAGTGGTTCAGGCCTGGCAATCAGTAGAATACAGCAATGAAGCCATGAGACAGGGCAGATCGATCCTCGTTTTTACCATCGTGACCATCGTCTTTGTAAGTTCCATCCCTTTTGACTCACTCCCGCGAGTACGTACAAGGAATTAACCACAAGAGAATAGCTTCCATTATCATTTATGTCCAGCGTCTTCGGAATGAACGCAATAGAATTAGGTGGCGGTGACAATGTGATGCATTTAAGAGATCAATTCACATATATCTGTGAGCTTCTGAGCCAAAATCTCATCTTGACTTTTCTGACAAAAACCTGATAGTCTCAATATCGGTCGGCGTCATTGTCTTGACTTTGTTATTCTCCATCAGCACGTCCTTCCGCACGTTTCTATGGTGCATCTTCAAGCAGTCATACACCACGGTCCTCGTCTGGACCGGCGTGTACCGCAACATCTACCTCAAGATGAATCTCACGACTGACGACATGTATGAGAATGCGGTTAAAAAGACAGAGAATTTGAAGGCCAAGGAGAAGGAGAAATTTCTTAAGTCACGCCACCAGCGTAAGGAGCTAGAGGGAAGGAAGAAGCAGGCCTTGGCAGAGAGGAACGAAGATGACCCCAACTCGAAGGGAAATGGTTGGAAAGGTTGGGCTCGGTCCTTGTTTCGACCAATATCAGCACACGGAAGTGCAGACGACCGCCACCAGAACAATTCTGGGGAGCTCGGGGCTAGTCAAGTGTAGCAGAAGGTTGAAATCGAAAGAGATGGTGACTATCTGGGCGTTGTAGAAAGTAACAGACTCTTAGGAGGCGTCTGGCAAAGGCCGAGCACCCTAAGCTCCCCGAGGGTCCACATCTGCTGTAATGGTGCACAATGCGCCACTCAGGCCCGTGCTAATTCCGGTTGACCAGCAACTGACGTAACTGTTTGCATCGGGTCTAGGTGCCACTAGCTGTTTACCGCTTCACTAGCAACACCAACCCCACATTCTCTCTCACGACACGTTGGTTCAACCACAAAGGACGACCGTTGTAACAATGAAGATCACGCTCTATGTTGATGTTGTTTCCCCGTTCGCTTACATAGCGTACTACGTTCTCAGAGTACGTTCAGTGTGTAGCCCCGGCCCGTGTGCGGCAGCTCTACTGATACATGCCACAGCACGACCCAGTGTTCAAAGGCTGTGATATCACTTACATACCAATCTTTCTTGGGGGGTTGTTCAAGAAGACCGGAAATAGAGCGCCGCTCGAGGTGAAAAGTCCGTACACCCCGTCATAGTATCGCCGACTGATATTTACGAACTATTCTGAGTCTCTGGGCCGGCGACTTAACGGTTGGCCGACGCAGCGACTGGGAGGGCTGTGAGTATCACGTACACGGTGCTGACCGTTCATGGATGCTATAAAGACAAAGACAAATGGATCGACAACGAGCGCCGTGTGTGGGCCACATACTTCAACGTGCCCATTACAAATAAAGTACCCGACGGCTTCCCCGCCAACACCCTCCACGTCATGCGGACCATCTGCGCCTTAAGCCGTCTCGCCAGTCCGGACGCTTCCCCCTCATCGTCGCCATCACGGTCCGGCCAGCAGGCCACAGTCAAGGCTCTCGACGCCTTCTTCGAAGCCTACTGGGTCAGGAGCCGCGACGTCGCCGATAAGGCCGTCGTGGCCGAGGTGCTCAAGGGCGCCGGGTGGGAAGACCTGGCCAAGGTGGCTGAGGTCACGGGCAGTGACGGCAAGACGGTCCTGACTGAGAACACGGATCGTGCGTTCGCGGATGGGGCCTTTGGGCTGCCGTGGCTCGCCTGTGAGAATGATCATGGTGAGAAGCAAGGCTTCTGGGGAGTTGACCACCTTGGTGTGGTGCTGGATTTCCTCGAGCTGGAGAAGCCAGCCAGACAGAATGGGTGGAAGGCGATGCTTTAACCGGCCGATACTTCTAGATATATAGTTTTACGGCCGCCGTCGTTTTGTTCGACGAAGGACTCACCCTTTATTTTGTGAAAGTGACAGCGATGAACTGACGACTACAACTGAACTGTATTAGTCGAGATTTCAGAAGCCAAGCACTGTACTTCGGCGTCCTTCCATGTTGTGCATGAAGAAATTGAACTGGCATCTAGGTTGAATCCCATGATTCACACACTGCTTAAGCTGGCTTCAACTCTCACTGTCGTAATTCTAACAAGGTAATGGGTGGAAGTATGGTCCTATACTCGGAAATGATCCACTATATGAGGGCAGGCCAAGAAAGGGTTGTTTGCGGGACAGCAAAGGCTATATAATATTTGCAGCCCCCCATTCCACCACATACGGCCATAGATAGTGGAAAATACGGGATCCCGTCCGCTCTCCCATAGTCAAGCCACTAATCGCTGGATTAGTAGTTGGGTCGGTGACGACCAGCGAATACCCGGTGCTGTATGTTTTTTTTGTTCTTTTTGCCTTGATATCCTGCCTCGGTGAATATAAGGCCCACAGCGTGCTCACTGAGGTACACCACATTCTTAGGTACATTTCTCTGCCCACAAAATCCTTTCACGGCCTCTTATTCTTCGATGGCGATGTTCTCCTTCGGCGGTGGAACTGCGATTTTGCTACAAGTGACCCATTCCCTGTTGGGATTCTCAGTATGCTCCACAAGGACTGGATTGGAGACTCGAATAGCCTTTGCTCCACGAGTCAGCATAACGTCGCGGAACTCGCCCATCATCTTCTCGAATTGGGCTCCTCGAGCCTGGGAATCTCTGATTCGAGTGATCGTCCGTCCCAGAGTCACACCATCCTGCAGTGCGTTTATGCCGGCCTCACCTCGGACTGCACAGTCCAAGTTAGCTTCTTTTCGCAGCATGAAGGCCACTAACGAGCCATTTTTCATGGTAAGATAGAAATAAGTCAGATAAATCTTTTTAGACTCACAGGGTATCATTGAATGCGCTGCATCCCCAATCACCATACCCCGCTTGGCTGGCAACTATAGTGCGCACTAAGCTCCACGCCCTGCAGAACAATACCAGGCTGCCTAGATCTCTCAACAAAAGTCTTGTCGACCAGTACACACAGGTGATCAGGGTAGTCCTTCACCTTGTCCCGGACAAACGCGGCCAGCTCTTCCTTACTGGCTTTGACTATCCAGAACGGGTTGTCGTCCGTGGACTTGGCGGCCTCGGCATCGACCCAATGTAGGATGAAGTATCAGTAACCCAGCTTCCCGTCTGGCAACACCTTGTTCAACACAGCGAACAGTGAGGCAGGTCCGTTGTCGATGACTACGTATGCCGAATGAGCAAGCTCCAGCTAACAAGCGAAGTCGTCTCCAGTCAGCTCGACCTCACCGACGATGGACCCAACGGGAAGAGGCTTCATGACATCCTAGCCATGGAGAATGTACTTGCGAATGGCACTTCGGGTTCCTTCCACACCAATCAAGATATCACCCGTGGCAGATAAGCCATTCTCACAGTGAACAGTGATTCTCTCATCCTCTTTATCCACCCTTACAGCACGCTTGTCGTACTGCACAGGGATATGCGTCTGCAGCCAGTCGCGCAGCCGCTACCTGTTGGCACGGACAATCTTACCCTTATCGTCGTCCTCGACACCAATGCGCATATCAGGCTTCTAGGCGTAATAAAAGACGAACTATGCTGGTAGGTCCAGGGGTGTGAGGTAGTTAGTGCAGGGCCAATATCGTCAGGCATGTGTTCCTTAAGGTCTGCAAGGATGGGGCCGTAAAGGGCAATAGCCCAGCCCTATGCTCTAGTATCGACGGACTTATCGCGTTCGAAGATCTCATAGGAAACACCATTCTTACACAGGATTTGCGCTAGAGTTAGGCCGCTCAGGCCGGCTCCTACAATAAGGACGTAAGGGTAAGGTTTGGAAGCCATAGGATATACTAAGTAGAAGAGAACGGAAATTCGCATACCCAAAATCGGAAGGCGCATACCCTCCGCTAACTAAGAAAGTATTCTATACAAGAAGACCTCTTACGAAAGGGCTGGCTGGGGCGAAGGGGGCGAGCCCCAAAGTACAAAGTATAGCGAAGGGCTATAAATAGAGCCGGTAGGCACAACCCGAGTTCCCAAAGGACCAACCCACCCTATTTATAGTCCCTTAATCATAAAGAACACTTTTTTAGTGAAGTTATAGAGACTTTAAGGTTTTAAATCCTAATTAGCTAAATATTAGGGAGGGTATGCGCCTTCCGATTTTAGGTACACGAATTTCCGTTCTTAAGTAGAATAGGAGATATTATTAGTTCTTGTGTTGGATGATAAACTAGAGGAATTATTACCACCAAGAGGATAAAACGCGCTATATTTATATCTTTCCAAATCCTAAGTGTAGTGATCTAGGTCAGACGGTAGATTTCCAACAACTTTAGACTTCTGTTGACTTCATCTCAATGTAGCAGCCAATTTCCATTTCGTGTGCAGCTTCGTAAATTGTGAATGCAATAAAATGCTAGGGATAGGAGGGTTGCTTCAGAGGTGTCAGTACATGTCGAGTTTACGTCCCACCTGTGGAGTCACAGCTCTTCTCAGAAATGATCGGCGCCGCTCTGAATCACTATGGATCTCGACGTTCGCACCTCACTTTGTCCTGTGGTTCTCATTCTTTTCCCGTCCTGACTCTCCTATGGATCCCTAACCCTGCCATGCTGCTACGGGTCATCATAGCGCTATTCCCTTCAAAGTTGTCCCCAAGATCGTGGCCATCATGGAGAGGCTTCCTTTCCTCCTGCCTTCTTCTCCTCTGTGTCAGTACAGCTGACGTTCGTGGAGTCTGCCTGGATTAGCACGCTGCTTGACACGTCTTCCATGTTATCGGTGCCTGATAGAGAGTCTGGCACGGCGGAAATAATCGATATTTCCACGCAATCGGGGAGCATGCCAGTTTAGAGAATTTCATATATTTGAAATGCCTTTTTGGCAAGCGCTCTGTGGCCTCCATATTTCTAATTGTACGAACTCATCTACTAGGTGAATTTACCACTAATCCGAAACTTTATTAATCCAGCGCCTAGTTCGCTGGGAAGCAACCACTGGCACTCCACACATCCCTCTGAGAAGAACAAGAGTGATGAGTTGAGGTTTTCGAGTAACTCGATGGATGACGAAGGGCTCATAGTTATAGAGTTTTCCATATTCACGTGCAAAACGCCAATAATCTGAGAATAGACCCTAAATAGGAGCATAGGCTTTGGCTCCCTTGTATTCCTTGGTTAGCAAACAAACGGCCTGTAAACGGCGTACACACCAACAATCCCGCGTTGAAACATTTCTCGATCATGACTAGGTGTGCCAATCCACTGAGCCCATCGCTGAGAGGTATCCCAGACATGACGGTATGGATAGGAATGGGGGGCTTAGAAGTCCTGGCAAGGCTAGAAACTGACGTATAATAGACAACCTAGCAGTATCGGTATGGATGAGTGCGTCGCCTGAACTCTCCATCTACGTGCGATCGACGAGGACTGGCGCAAGGGATAATCACAGCGCGGCCGGGGCCGAGCGCGCTTTTATACCCTTTATGGGCCTCAGGTCTCGCTACCTGTACTTGAGTGTCTTCTGAAATACCTTAAATCCGCTTCAGTTTCGAGCAGACACCAACAACCTGAACCATATGGCTGCGTCTGGTGAACCATAAAAGATTTTCGATGGATTTGCCGAGTCTCTTGTTGATGTTGCGATTGCAACTTTCTCTACTGGGCCAGTTGCACGTCGGTGCTACTGTGATCAACTCCCTACCTACCAAAAACGTCATCGAATACCCTCTACCGGCTGCCCAGCAGACTCATGAGGTTCTCGCGGTAACCGACAACTTGATACTCGTTTCTCAACAAACCGATGGAAGTCTCGTGAAAGTAGCAATCGATAACACCGGAAGGCCTGCCGGTGCTCGTAAATACACACCGACAAATATATGGTCCGGTCTACACGGCCTGACATTGCACTCAGGCTCCGGAGGCAACTCGAGCGTCTGGGCAACTGTGCAGTTCGATAATGCTATTCTCCAGATTGATCCCAAGGGCGACGACATCAACTCCCCTCCAGAAGTCATCAAAACAATTCCCGTCCCTGCTCCTGCCTCGGGGCCGCATGGAATTTTGGAACACAACGGGAACCTGTGGCTAGCGTGCAAGGACAGCTCGCACGTCGTCAGGCTCAGGATCGATAACCCTGACGACTATCAAGTCTGGGCTGTCAGCAGACGTCCAATTTTCGTTGCTGTGCACCCGACGAGCGGAGACATCTACGCTAGCCTTGACTTGAGTAGCAAGATTTGGCACTACAAGAATGATGGAGGGAAAGGCGAGGAGATTGCCATTCCGCCAGACAGAGGAGCCACGCCCGTCGGCCTGGTGTCGGGACCAGACGGTAACTCCTGGGTCGCTTTACTAGGAAACTCGACTGCCGGCACGGGCACATTTGGACGCATCAGCAAAGACGCCTCTATTGATTGGTTCACCTTGTCCTCGAGTGTCGGCAAAACTGCAGGTATCATCCATCTGGCATTCGACCAGGACCCAACGCGATTCTGGGTGCTTGGCTCGTCGACCATCTGCGACCATTGCGTCGACGCCGTATTCACGGTGAAGATCGATGATACGACTGGGGGCACCGCATCGCCAAGGATTGCAGTACAGAACTCCATCTTATTACCCACCCAGAGGAGCTGGACACATCGCATAATCAATCATAGGGGAAGCCTATTTCTCACCGAGCTGACAACTTCGACCCTCGCGCATCTGACTGGATCTGCTGTCGATGGGCTGAACACCAGTGAGACCTGGGATCAATACGCGGACTACGGACTCGGTCTGAAGTCCGCGATGATTGATTATAACAATGATCCGTTGCTTTGAGAGAAATGAAACCTGATAATTTACTAGTATCAGTCTTCCATGCTATAGTGCCGCATCAATTCAATCGAAATAGACGATGTTCTTCGTCATGGAAGTCAATTATGCACACTCACATCGTCGGGTGATTTGCTTCAGCTTGCGGAAAGGCGCGTGGCTACATGCCGGTGCTGATGAGGGACGGAAGGCCTGCTTCCCACGAGCACATGTCGCCCTAATATACACCTCCGACTGTTCCATCGTCACAAGAGCGTATTAGTCATGCAAAGTAGGATCAGGCGCCTCGCACTGCATCCCTATCACGTCGCTAACCTAGAACGTCTCGCCCACGCGGCTGAACCATTTCAATGGACGGAGTAGTTGTGAGCCGGGACTGGGACCAGATCCTTCCTGCCTTAGGGCGGCAGTTGTCAAAATATCCTCAGTCAATGATTTCTCAGCAGCCTTAAGGGCTCAGTTATAAGTGAAAGATAGCAATTAATAAGTGGCAATAAATACAACGAGGTACATTCTATTAGCTATACACTACACTACTACAATACTTTTATAGCGCTACTAGGAATAGAGCTTCAGGAGCTAAAAGCTGAGAATATAAATGCGGCTGCCCAACATCCCCTACCCGGCACCCTCTCACAAATTAGTCCGCGGCAGGAGACATACTTAAACAATAAAGCAAGAAGTTTAAATTTAATAGCAGTGACGAGTTTACGGGATTTAGAATTTCAACGACGATATCGCAACTCAATCACAAGTAGATACACCACATGCATAACCTTGCTCATCGAGGGATCTAATAGTATAAGGATCTATTACTCCCTTGGAAAATTTAGAGAGGAAATTTAATCCTTTTTAATTATCTACCCTTTAATTAATACTATTAAATCCTACTAGAAACGTAAAAAAGCCACTTAAGTAGCACTACCGCTCTATTAAAATAATATTAAGTTACTTTATAATTTAATATTATTCTTTAAAGTTTTTATAATTTATTATATACTTTATATTTATTTAAAATAACATGAAAATTAAATTTATTATATTTAATATTTTAAGAATTAATTTATAAATAATATATTATTAAATATATAGTTATTTTATTTAATATAATAATAGAAAGCCTTTTAAAAATATATAATTAAGTTTTATAAGTAAGTATTATAATTTATTCTTTATAAACTTTTAAAATAAAAGTTTTATCTTTATAATTATTTATATTAAAATTTAATATTATTAAAAATTAAAGATAAATAATTAAAATAATAGGAATTCTACTAACTACTAGTATAATAGATCACTTAGCTAAGAAACTATAATAACTAATTTATCTAATTAATTATTCTAATAGTTTATAGGTTTAATACTAAACTATTACAATCCCCCTTAAGGCTTTATAAAGTATTTAAATAACTTAAAGATAGATTAAATACCTATAAGAGGCCTGAAAATCTCTTAAATAGGATAGATATCTATAATATATTTAAGCTACTTTATTAAAGTAAACGGTCTATCTTAATATTATAACTATAAACTATAAATACTATACCTACTAGCCTGCTAACACCACAAATAAGATCTTTTTAAACATAGGGGCTTAAACCCACACCCTTTAAATTAGTTATTAAAACAGTAGGAATTCTACTAACTATTAATATAATAAACCGCTTAACTAAAAGACTATAATAACTAATTCATCTAATTAATTATTTTAGTAGTTTATAGACTTAATATTAAACTATTATAATAATATAATTTATTTAATCTTTAATATAAAATATAACTTATTATTTTTAATATAAAACTTATATTTAACTTTATATTAAAGTATATATTAATATAATAGTTAGGTAAAAGCTATAAAGAAGCACCTTAAAGGCACCTTAGTACCTAGCTATGCCCCTTCTTTAAGCCTATTAAAAAATAGGTAATATCTACTTACCTCTTTTTTAAAAAAGGTAAGAATTAATTTTATATTAAATTTAAACTTAATAAACCTTTAAACCTCTTTTAACCTATACTATTATATCTAATATTATAACCTACTATAATTTTAATTCTTTATTTTATATTATTTATAATATTATTAAAAATAAAATAATTAAAAGAAAGGTTTTAAATAAATCTAAATAATAATAAAAAAGTTTAAATACCCCTTTAATAAATAATATTCTTACTTAAAAATAAAAGTAGAACTAAATCCTATAATAAAGAATAAATATCCTTAAAATAATTAAAATTACCTTAAAAATTAAATTAAAAGATTTAAAATTAATTAATATTACCTTATTATTTATAATTTATACTTTATAATAATATAATAATTAAATAATAAACTTTAAAAGTTTATATTTCTTAATTATAATTCCTTTATAATAATAAAATAAAAGTAATTTATATACTTAATTATATTAATAAAAATATTAAAATTATTAAAATATTTATATAAAATTTAAAAAAAATAAGTTTATATTTAATTATTATAAATAAAATAAATTTAAAACCTTTAATAATAATTTTAAAAGATTTTTAAAGTATTTTTAAAGTTATTTAAAATATAATTAATTCTATCTATTAATAAAAAATTAAAACCTTTAATTTTTTATTAATACTTTAAAACCTTAAAGTTAAAATAAAGGTTAAAAATAATAATTTTAAATTAAATTCTTTTCTTTAAATTATAAAATTAAATTTTTAAAATTTAAATTAAATATACTTTAAATTTACTAAATATTAAAAATAAAATAATTAAAATTACTTAAATAATTTAAATTAATATATTTAAATAAAATTAAAAAAAGTATAAGAAATTAAAAATAAAGTATAAAAGAAATAATAAAACTTTTAATAAAAAAATAAAAAAATTCTTTAAAGTAATATTATAACTTTTAAAGAAACTTAAAGTTTATTATATATAAAAGGTTAGGTTAAAAATTTTAAAGTAAAGGCTTATATATTTAATTTAATTAAAATATTTAAAAATAACTTTAAAACTACTTTAAAACTTAATTTTTAATAATAATAAAAGCTAACTATTTATTATTATTATAATAATACCTATTATTATATTTTAAACTATTTAATATTAATAAAAATTATAATATTTATAAACTAAATTTAAAGTTATAATAATTAATAATTAAAAGTTATTAAAAATAAAATTAAAGTAAAAGTTAAAAATTATTTTAATTACTTATTAAAATAATATTTAAAGTAAAGAAATTAAATTAATAATTAAAATTAAAAAAGGAAACTATAAAGATTTATAATACCTTTATAATTTTAAAAAGTAACTATAATATAGAATTAAAAATATATTAAAATTAACCTTAATACTTAAATTTAAATAAACTTAATTAATATTTCTTTATTAAAAATTTAATTTAAAAATTAAAAGATCCTTAATATCTATTAAAAGATTAATTATATTTTAATATTTATTTATAAAGTCTTTTAAATCCTCTTTTAATTAAAGATTATTTTAAAATTAAAAAAAGACTTAAAATATTCTAACTATTAATTAAAAGTATTTTAAATTTATTTTATTATTAAAACTTTAAGTCTATAATATTTTTAAATAAAATTAAAAATTATCTAAAAATTAATAGTTTTAATAAAATAACCTATATATTATTTAATAAACTATAAAATTCTTTATAAAAATTAAAAATAGAATACTTATTATTATACTATTCTTTTAACTAATAACTTTTAACTTAAATAATAAAAAAATTAATAAAACTAAAGGAAATAAATAAAAAATCACCCTTTAATTCCTTTTAATTATATTTATAATTAAAAATTTAAAAGAATTTTTATAAAGGTTAAAATAAAAACTCCTCTTTTAAAAAAATAAATTATATAATTAAAATTAAAAAAAAATATTACTACCTTTTTACTTTTTACTTACTATTATTAAAAGTTAAAAATATTAAAAAATAATTAAAAAAATTTAAAAATTAAATAAATTACCCTTAATAAGAGTTTAATAAAACTTTAATCTTATTTACCTTTAAAAATAATACTTTTTAACTTTATATTAACTATTAAACTTTTAATAAAATAATAGTTAAGAATTATTACCCTTTATTATTAATTTCTAAAATTTTAAATTAATTATTAATATAAAGTATTTTTAAAAATTAATTTAATAAATATTTATTATTAAATTTATATTTAAAAAAATAAATAAAAACTATATTCTATATATACTATAATTACTATAAATTTAAAATAATACTATTTAAATTAATTAATATCTCTATTATATTCTAATTATTTATTATAAAAATTCTAAATAATTATATTAATATTTATATAATTATTTATTTAAATAATATTTTAATTTTTTAAAAATAAAAAAAAATATAAAAATATATTTAAATAATTATAAATTAACTATTATTAATTAAGCTCTATAAAGATTTTAAAAATATAGCTTTTTTAAAAGGAAATTAAATTCTAGAATTTCTAATTAAAAGAAAGGAATTTAAATAGATCTTAATTAAATTAAAACTATTTAAAACTAACCTATTCTTACTATTTATTATAATATTTAAATTTTCTAAGTTTTTATAATTTCTATTAAAAGTTTATTAAAAATATTTAAAATTATTTAATCTTTTAATAAGTAATTATTTAATATAAAATAGAGTTAAAAATTTAATAAAATTAATCTATTTATACCTAAAAATTTAAAAGCTTAAAAACCTTTAAAAACTTAAGGCTAAATTTTAATAAATACCTTTACTTTAATATTATAACTTAATACTTTATATTTAAATTAAATATAATACCTTTAATAAAATAGCTACTTTAATAATCTTTTAAGAATATATTATTAAAAATATATCTTAATAATATTTTATTACTTTCTAATTAAAAAGTTTATTAATATAAAACTTAATTAAATAATTTATAATAAAGAATTAAATACTATTATTAATAACTTTAAGTATTAATAATAATATTTTAAAAATTTAAAATCTATTACTACTCTTTTAAATTAT